GGATATACAGATTCTGGCTAAGATTATCACATTTATTTTTTTGATTGGGTAACTAAAATAATAGATCAGGGTGGTGCAGTAGACATTGCTTACCTAGATTTCATTAAGGCTTTTGACACTGTTGCACATGGAAGGCTTATCAATAAATTGCAATCTTTAAGTTTGGATTCCAATATTGTTGAATGGGTAAGGCAGTGGCTGAGTGACAGGCAACAGAGGGTTGTAATCAATGGAGTATATTCAAAGCTTGGGCTTGTCACCAGTGGTGTACCTCAGGGATTTATATTCTCTTTAATGTTTTTATTAGTGCTATTGCAGAAGGTCTTGATGGTACGGTATGTCTTTTTGAAAATGATACTAAGATATGTAACAGGGTTGATGTTCCAGGAGGGATAAGCCAAATGGCAAATGATTTAGGTAAACTAGAAAAATGGTCAGAGTGTGGCAACTGACATTTAATGTTGATAAATGCAAGATAATGCATCTTGGAAGTAAAAACCCCAGGACAGAGTACAGAATATTTGATAGAGTCCTAACCTCAACATCTGAGGAAAGGTATTTGGGGGTGATTATTTCTGATGACTTAAAGGTAGGCAGACAATGTAATAGAGCAGCAGGAAATGCTAGCAGAATGCTTGGTTGTATAGGGTGAGGTATTAGCAGTAGAAAGAGGGAAGTGCTCATGCCATTGTACAGAACACTGGTGAGACCTCACTTGGAGTATTGTACGCAGTACTGGAGACCGTATCTTCAGAAGGATATTGATACTTTAGAGAGAGTTCAGAGAAGGGCTACTAAGCTGGTTCATGGATTGCAGGATAAAACTTACCAGGAAAGGTTAAAGGATCTTAACATGTATAGCTTGGAGGAAAGACGAGACAGGGGGGATATGATAGAAACATTTAAATACATAAAGGGAATCAACACAGTAAAGGAGGAGACTATATTTAAAAGAAGAAAAACTACCACAACAAGAGGACATAGTCTTAAATTAGAGGGGCAAAGGTTTAAAAATAATATCAGGATGTATTACTTTACTGAGAGGGTAGTGGATGCATGGAATAACCTTCCAGCTGAAGTGGTAGAGGTTAACACAGTAAAGGGGTTTAAGCATGTGTGGGATAGTCATCAGGCTATCCAATCTATAAGATAAGGCTAAGGACTAATGAAAGTATTTAGAAAATTGGGCAGACTAGATGGGCCAAATAGTTCTTATCTGACATCACATTCTATGTTTCTATTTTCCAAATCCAAATTTACAGTGTGACAGAGTGCTTTCTCCTGCGAAAAAAAGGCCACGGCAATCAGGGAACACCATTACCATGAAGGGGTTTACATGGTCTGCAACAATCTCTAGGTGGGCCCAGTTCTGATACTCAAGTCCCCATTGGAGGAACTTTCAGTGGTGGACAGGTGTAATCATGGACACTCTGCAGCTATGCAGCCCCATACACAGCAAACCGTGATGCATTGTTCTGACACTTTTATAGCATGCACGGCATTACGTTTTTTAGACATTTTATTTACAGTAGCTCTTCTGTGTGATTGAACCAGACAGGTTAGCCATCACTCTCCATGAGCCTTGGAAGTCAATGACCCCAACACGGTTTCACTGGTTTTCCTTCCTTGCATCATTTTTGTAAGGTACTAGCCACTGTATACCAGGGACACCCCACCAGACTTGCTATTTTGGAGTTGCTCTGACCCAGTCACCTAGCCATAACCAGCTATTTGGCCCATATCAAAGCCACTCAGATCTTTTTTGCTTGCCCATTTTTACGGCTTCCAACACATGAAATCAAGAACTGACTGTTCACGTTACCGTTCAATGTTTTTTAATTTTATGGAATTGCTTGTGCAACCAGTTTTTTAGACCATATGGTTTGGTAGAATACACAATAAATTATTTAGCATAAGAAAGACGTTAATCAATATTAATTAAAAATGATTAAACATCAGTTTGTGTATGTTTAAATATCGGTTTCAAAGCTGTGTAACATGTAGTATGCTCTATGTAACATTTATTTGAGAAAACCCCTGATTAACATTGAATATTCGTAATTCATTGAAGGAAATTACAATTTCTTTTTCATGACGTAATGACAAATACACCTTTACAATGATTGTGACCAAGAAATTCCTTCTTTAAAATGTTTGATAGAGAAAAGGTTTCACTAGAACTAGATAAATGTAAAAGAAGTAAGCAGTAGGTTATTATATGCTACCCTAAACATTAGAGGGACTACCAAGATGGACATATGCTAGGTTGATCATAGGCTAATCATTTATTTTATCATTATTCTTCTTATTAGTATTATCATTCTTTTTTTTTTCTTTTTAAGACCATATTGAAAAAACATTGGTGGTATTTATGCTCATCTCTACTTGCTAAACCAATTTATTTACATTCACACATACCTAGATACGGGTGTTTTTATGTTCTGAAATATTGTACTTATTTACATGTTTATATGCTTGTTTCTATTAAATTGTAGAATCATATACTACTGAGTTGAACAGTGATAACAGTGTAACCTCTGAACTGACAGCTGTTTTAAACTAAATGACATCAGGCTCAGCATCATGTGAATATAGTCAACAAAAACAACAATGTGTTGTGGCCTGTACCAATATCAGATAACCACCTAGAATTCATACACACACTACTCAGTCACATATTGAGACTGCCACACACACAAATCCGCTGACACACGCACAACATTCAACCAACATATGCAGACACACTTTACCCATACAATGCTCACCCTCCTCCACAGACCCATAATTCAGCCACTACACACACACACACACACACACCATTCAGCCCACACATACCACTCACATAAACAGAGCCCAAGGATTTAGGAGGAGGCCCCAATCTGCCTAAGCTCCTGGGCAACATTAATCTGGCTCTGATCATAGGAATAGAATGCACTCTGGAAAAGTGGGCATGTTTTAGGTAGACATTAAATTAACCTATAAATACCAAAAGATTACATGCTTTGAAATTGCAAACCACAGTGCCTTTAATTAGTGGTTTAAAGCTAACCTTATAAATTGCTACTTTAAACTATAGCTAATTTCCAATAGATTTGTGTCTAATTCTAACGGTACAGCTGAATGGACAGCCAGAAACAAGCACAGAGGAGATGTAAATAAAGGCACAAGATAAAACAGGCTCAATTTAAAAACAATTTATGTGACCAACACAAATTTGCAATTGCTCACAAAATCAATTGTGTATTTGAGGGAAAGAGGAACAATGGGCTAAATTGTTATCTAATTCAAATCATGACTTACTTGGAATTCATTCTAGACCCTTGTGGAGGAAAACTGGCATTTGGGAAATAGGCAGATGGCTCCTACAAATCCCTATTCAGTACTTCACTAGGTATCTGTTTCACATATGTTAACGATAGGCTGCATCCATATGTAAGAAGTAAAAAAAATCTGGAATCTCAACAATCATGTAATATGATTTTATATATGTTTTAATGGCAAGCATCATCTCTTGCTTCGTATAATGTACTTCTTTTACTGCCGTTTTTTCCCCTCTTTCTATCCTTCTATGCATGTGACTATCTACCCAACGCTCTAGGTGGGCAAAATGAAAAACAACTAAACTACAGTAAAATTAATAACCTGATACAGAGTATGATACGTAGCTATCAGAAACCCTTTGGTTCTTCTTGAAATATGGTCATGAAGTTTATAAGTTTAGTTGCTTTTTGCACATTTTTTTTCCCTTTTCTTTAAACAAGGAGGACCAAAAATGTAAATTAAAAAAGGAGGATATCCCATGTAAGTTTTATTTTAGCCTCTCTCTACGTCACAATATAATACTTATTGTCAGCAGTTTTTGTTTTGTATTCATGTGTATACTTTGACAGATTTCATTGCAACGGTTTTTAGTCACAAAATCAGTCATCTAAAAAGAAGACCCCCATCAATGTAGACACATTAGGATATTGTTCAAAGATACGCACATTCACACAATGCTACAGCAAACCCAAATGCTTTGGGAACAGTGAATGTCTTTTATTTGTTGTGTTCTTTATTTTTGCATGAATTACTATGCATTCTCAAATAAATTCGTAACTATAGTTTCCCGCTGAGGGCCTGCATGCTGGATCTATACCACAAAGGATTTGTGCTGTTCCTCACTATTGAATCCACATAAGGTACTTTACATGATTTTATTTATAACAAGGTCTAGCTGGAATATTAATATAAGCCCATCTAGTCAGCATGTGAATCTAAAAACATATAGTCTACTGCGACAGCATGAAAAAGTGGGACAATCCTGCCTTGATAATACGGGCATGAAAAGATGGTATACATTGTACTCAAAGGGGTGCATTTACCCACCCACTGTGCTTGAGCCTGCATCATTTGTTCACAAGATATGAGGTTCTTTTTGCTGCAGTGACATTAATCATGTTCATAACATGATGGAAGAGGGTCCAACTGTGCTTGAAATTTCTGAGTTCTAATATCTACTAACTGTTCTTCTGCTAGTTTAAGATATTGTAGTGAAGCAAACATCAAAACACCAGCAAAATACTCATTCTCCTCTAGACAACATATGGATTCTCAACAGCACAAAATACTAGACAAAATATTGTTCCTGTTGTCATAAAAATAGATTTCAAGGGTATAGCTATTCCTTCCCTTTACGTATACACTGTTATAGGTTGAGGGCTTTGAGATATAACAGTCCAGCATGCTCTGTCTCTACTACCACACAAGGAGGAGGAGAGATAAAGATGACATCCAGTGGAACTAGTACACCATTTAGACATATACACAGGATACGTTTTTCGAAGTATAAATTATAGGAGTTAAAAATAAGGACTTAAAAGGTCACATTTTGCATACTGCACAGTTAGTTCCCAAGAAGGAATATTTGTAACTTTTTTACATTTGAATAGGGTAGATCAGTATTTATTAGGTTTTACTGTGTTTTGTTACTTTGTGACAGGCCTGTCCAACCTGCGGCCCCCCAGATGTTGCTGAACTACAACTCCCTTGATTCTTTCAATGACACAGATAGCATGGAATCATGGGAGTTGTAGTTCAGCAACATCTGGGGGGCCACAGGTTGGACAGGCCTGGTCTAAAGCTTGTCTAACTAAAATGACACATATACGTTAACCCTGAGTTATAAGGCAATGGTTAAACAACACGAAAACCAATAGTACAGATAGTACATAGATGTAAATAAGAAAGTACACCTTGTCACAAATTAACAAAACACAGTAAAACCCAATTTTAGAATTTTTAGATTTTTGTCTAAAGCAGGGAAGTCCAACCTGCGGCCCCCCAGATGTTGCTGAACTACAATTCCCATGATTCTTTCAATGACACAGATAGCATGGAATCATGGGAGTTGTAGTTCAGCAACATCTGGGGGGCCACAGGTTGGACAGCCCTGCTTTAAACAAAAATCTGAAAATTCTAAAATTCTGTTTGGTCAATCCACTAAGAAAGTATTAGAGAACACTATGATACTCTATTATTTTCCATGTTAAATAATTCTGTAATTAATATTACTATTTTTATTCCATCAACATTCAGGGCTTAACAATTTTGCTATGGTGATGCAAAACAACATATATTATATATATTTATACATATATATTTATAGAGATAAAATGTTACTTATAACTCACATTTGCAGTTTTACATGTGCATTGGTTATTACCAAGGTATCCTGTTTTTAAAATAAATAAATACATTTTCATGATAGCGTAAAACCAAACATCAGATTTTTTTTAATTGTTTTGCTTAATAGAGTCAACAAGCTAACTGATGAAAGTTTTAGATTAACCTCAAAACAGCAGCAATGCAAATATACTCTTTAAAATGGTTAAATTATTTAAGTGAAAAAATCATAGCAGCTTTGGAAATAATTATTGATTTAAAGTCCCACTTTCAAAGACAGGAAAGCTAAACATCCCTCTCATGTGGTGCCTTAAATGTTGACAGCTATTTCATCATATTTTATTCCACATCGTACAGCAGCACTGTATACAAGATAATGAAATAGTTGACCATCTATAACATGGTATAAAATCTCAAGAGACCCAGAAGTATTTTTTTCCCCTTTCTCAGAATGCAGCACAGCTCTGCTATGGATGGTCAATCAACTATTATGTTGTACAGTATATAGCTTCAATTTTGTCACTGGGAAAAAGCTTTTGAGGATGGATGACTGACTTTGACCTTGTTATGCGCAAGTAAAAGTTGTTATGTATCGATTTCAATGCAGAGCAATTTTATCCATACATAACAGCTTCTCCTAGTGACATAACTGGGATATTATCTGTATTGATTTGTATACATAACGGTGTTTAAATGTACGTTTTATAAAGTAATAGGTGCTTTTTGCCAGCTGTGTTATATGCATTAGATTGTCGATCCATTCAACGGCACAAATAAAAAATCATTTAATGCCAAGAAATAAAAAAAAGTTTGCTCACAAGTCTTGCAAGATGTCACTATTCCGGGACATGTTCCACTAAATATACTGTCTATATGAAAACCTATATTTTCTTAACCACTGTTGATTATATTCTGCACACTTGGGAATTACAGTTTACAGGAGTTCAAAGTCTATATATATATATATATATATATATATACATATACACACACATACATATACATACATACACATTGCTAAACACAAATACACACACCAGTCAAGCCATAAGACTTGCTTTTCCCATAGAAATCTCACTTTAACAGTGCTCTCACTACTGCAAGGGATTCTGGGAAGGTGTATGCAAATGAGCTCAACAAAAAAAAACATTTTTGCCTCATATTTCCACTTTATACATGAATTCCTTGGAGTATGTGTCTGCTGTTTACAACAGCTTCAAAACACAACTCAGGAAGAGGAGCAAAGCCAGTGAACCACTCATGGACAGTTGTTTCATTGATATTGCAACTCATCAGCATGAGGTTGGTTACTGGCTTGCTATGGAGGCTTGGCGTTACCCCTAAATTACATACCAAAAGAGTTGTGGTGGGGGAGAAGTATGGATGAAAACCCCTTCCACCTAAAGTAAGTGGAGAGTTAATATACACACACACACACACAGTTTAATAGAAGTTTTGCACTCCAGCTTTTCTTCATATATTGGCCCGGTGCTCAGCTGCACAAATTTACACTGAAACGTCGACTTACTGCTTGGATTAAAAGCCTACATATTTTATGTTCAAGTCCTTGAGTGCTGGCTTTCTTTTGGAGAAATATATATATATAAAAATCTGGTTTCTTAAATTGCTCTCCTTTTTTCCAATCTTCACAATTGGCATATTACTAATCAATTCAACTGTGGCTTTGAGTGTTGACTTATTTATATTAGGGAACATTTTTTAAATCCCTAGAAATTAATAACAACTTAAAAGATCTAAAAGCTTTTCACATTCACTGCAATCAATTGCTATAATACTTTGCTGCTCAAAGTTTGGAAGGCATTGCTGAAATAATCAATTCTGATTATGTCAGCCAAGGAGGAGGATCAAGGGTGGGGTCAGCACACCCATGCAGTGCTGTAAAGAAGATGAGTTTCATTTAGGTAGGTACCTAGATTGTGATTGTAACACTATAGGGTCAGGAATACATGTTTGTGTTTCTGACCCTTTAATGTTCCTTTAAAGACCACTCTAGGCACCCAGACCACTTCAGCTTAATGAAGTGGTCTGGGTGCCAGGTCCTTCTAGGGTTAACCCATGGGTTAAGCCTTCCCCCATTCCCTCTAGTGGCTGTCTCATTGACAGCCACTAGAGGCGCTTGCGTGCTTCTCACTGTGATTTTCACAGTGAGAGCACACCAGCGTCCATAGGAAAGCATTGAGAATGCTTTCCTATGTGACCGGCTGAATGCGCGCGCAGCTCTTGCCGCGGATGCGCATTCAGCCGACGGGGAGGAGAAGAGGAGGATCGGAGGCGGAGAGCTCCCCGCCCAGCGCTGGAAAAAGGTAAGTTTTTACCCCTTTCCCCCTTCCAGAGCCGGGCGGAAGGGGGTCCCTGAGGGTGAGGGCACCCTCAGGGCACTATAATGCCAGGAAAACTAGTATGTTTTCCTGGCACTATAGTGGTCCTTTAAGGTAACAAATAATATTGGTGTACCAATATTATTGAAGGTTTTATGTAGTGGGTTGTTTTATGTAAAAGCATGTAAAAGCACTATGTCATTGGTGCTATGCTAATATACACTGGCATGAAGGGACATTAAAATGATTCTGTAAAGTGAATCAGCTAGTGTATAAATACATCAGAAAAACAAACATACTTTCAATGCATTCCATACAGTGTGTAGGTTTAGTTTTAAACCCATAGGTATCTCTACCAATGGAAGTCTAACACACTGGGCAGCTGGCATCAGAAAAAGGGACTGTGTCGGGTAACAGTAGATAGACAATATAGTATAGTGAATAACAATGAACATAAATCTAAATATAATCTTGATTTATTTATCCATTAAACATTTTGATATCAGTCTTAATAGTAAATGAAATACTTTAATTGCTTCCAATATATTTATGTCTCAAACATTATTTTTATTTAAATACAATATTTTAAAACCCATAGTCCCACAGCAAATTGCTATTCTATCCATTCAATATGTAACACCCACGGATGACTGGGACATTATACATAATTTAGCACTATTTATATAAAACAAGTAATGCAGAGTGAGTTTTTGCAGCAGTTCCAGCAACTGACGTGTTATATTCTAAATGTGATACATGTATAATAACAATAATAAGAGAGGCATTTTATGACAGGTGCTAACAAAATATATTGTTAAAAAGTTATCTAAGTTTTAATTGCTTGTTTAGAGTTGATGCTGTAAGATTTATAATCTTGTTTTCAACTATTTTTATAGAACACAGCGACATAAGGTATAGCATAGAACTTTAAAATCCACTCTGTAAATGACTGAGGGATGAAGAAATATAAATATTTAAATATGTAAAATCAGATTTATTAGAATTTAGTTATTTCCTAAAAGCCAGCTTGAATATTGTACGAATGATCAAGGACGTGGTCGAATCAAACTACAGTCATATTTCAACTGACCATCTTCCCTAAAACCCAAATTGACACTAAGGAGAGGTTTTTAAGTGTCACTATCAGGAAAGTGGTTCAACGTTCTAAAATCAGGCAACCACCATAAAAACAATAGCCCCATTCATGATAATTCAACTCTTTTCCAGGGTGATTGCCCTACTTTTGTATTAACAACACTTACCATCCTAGTTGTAGAAAAAGAAAGAACATATAGAATTAAAAAGGAAAGTATAAGCACTTTGCAAAATTAAAAGAGTAATTTTGGAACTATGAATCTTCCCATAAGAGCCTTGAATTTGTTTTATAAATCAAGATGGTTTAGCTTAGGGCCAGATCTTTGGTAGCCCTTCAACTGTTAAAGATGGGGCTCTGCCAAACTATAAATTTATAGAGTATCAATGACATTCCACATCTATTATATCTGGAGGCTCCCTAGTAGTGACCTCTGGTTTAGCCCTGTCTGAACAATGCTTCCCTATGTGGTACTTGCCGCTCATAGACTGACATTGACAATGTTAATGCCCTTCTCATTAAAATCTGAAATTCTTTATTATGCACCTTAGGGAAATCAAGCCCATTTTAATAATTTCCTGGTGCTAGTCCCTCCTTTTACACTTCAGTGGAGAAATTCACTATGCAATATTAGAATTATAAAATATTATCATTTAACATATAGAGTGATGCGTGCGACATTAAGAAGACATGTATAAATGCCCAAGGAATAACTAACCCAGATGAAAGTTCATATATTACGAAGGTCATAAAACGACTCCTAGAAAGAATGATATGAGAAGACAGAGGGCCATTTTCATACGAGGCAAATTATATTTGATCAAATAAAGTATAGGCTTCAGATATATTTGAACTGTGTTAACGGAAGAATAGAATGGTACAGATGTTTGCACTATGTTAGAATGTCAATGTGCCAAGTTTTTTGTAGAAAATCCTTGACTGGACATTACTAAAAATGAATTGAGCCGATTTGTTTAAATTGACCTGTTTGTAGTT